TCTATCTATCTATCTATCTATCTATCTATCTATCTATCTATCTATCTATCTATCTATCTATCTTCTTCCTTCCTTCCTTCCTTCCTTCTTTTCGAGAGCTGGAGTTGCAAAAGCCAGCCTTTGATTTCCTGGTCATTATGGCCTATTTAATTGTAAGTAGGTTTACAGAACCTTGTTAAAGTTCCTGCAGAAGATAAGCAAACCCACAGCATGATGCTTCCACCACCATGCTTCACTGAAGCTTTGGTGTTCTTCTGGCGAAATGCAGTCTTCTTCCTGGACCGAACAAATAGTCTGTGGGCTAAATACTTTTGGAATTGTGAGCTAAAAAAAAATCCAAGTTCAGATTCATCAAACCATAGCAATGTTTAGCTTAGCCTGGGTGGATTTTTGTAAGAAAATGCTTCCCTACCTCTTAGCTCATACGTATGGAGAATACAGGAGATTGTTCTCACGTAGAAAACGCCCGACACTTCTCAGGAAATCCTGTAGCTKCTTCAGTGTTCAGCCTCTCTGCCCACTTTGTCACATATTCTAATCAATATTGAAGAGATTTCCACTTCTCAGTAATCCCACTACTGTTCYGTATTTCCTCCACTTGACCATTCTCTGTGTGTTGATTATCTAATGTTTGGGGAACATTTACTGATTTATTTTAATAATAGCAAATTATTTGCAGGTGAAATATTCAGTATCAGCAGCTTTTAACAGGCAAGCATTAAATAATCTATTTTTTATCCTTTATTTAGGCTGGATCTTGTGGGTACAATATGTATTTTATACTCCTAATAATCCTACAAATTCTGTTTTTTTTCCTGTGGTTCTTCTGTGCAGTTCCTGGTTTGTAAGCGTAAGTTGGAGAGTAAAAAAGAGGCTCTCCTGATTCTGTCTAAAGAGTTGGACACCTGCCAGCAGGAGAGGGATCAGTACACGCTGATGGCAAACCAGCTCCGTGAACGCCACCAGGCTCTGAAGAAGAAGTACAGAGAGCTCATTGTAAGCTTGCTTCASTGTAAAAGATGCACGAAAAGGCAGCAAAACAGAAACGCCTTCTGAAGTGTTCAGAAGAATAATTCTATTATTTGTCTTTTTATCAGGATGGAGACCCCTCTCTGCCTCCTGAAAAAAGGAACCAAGTGAGTAATGTTACCCAGGTTTTATCGTTTCCACATTACTGTTCAAGAAAAACGCAGTCTTAACTTTAACAAAGAAGTTATAGCGGCTCAGCAGAATAATGCGCGCACACAGCACGTCTGAGCCTGCTGAYGTGAGGTTCGTGCCAAATGGATGAGACAGTATTAATGACAGTGTTAAATCCTGCTGAGCCGGGCTCTCTCCTGGTGGAGAACCTGGACTTTTTTTCTTTTTTCTTTTTTTGCATGTAGTGGTGATGGAAAAACATCACAACTTTCCTGCCCATGTAATAATGTTCCTTTCTGTTTGTTTCCCTCTCAGGTGAATTTAGCTCAGCTGCTGAGAGACTCCAGAGAAAAGAGCGGCCAACTTTCTGAGGAGGTCAAGGAGCTCAAACAGAGGCTGGTGGAGGCTCAGGGTGATAACAAGGTACACTGAAAGACAGCCATTTTGGATGTTACCAGTCCATTAAATGGACATTATTAACGGTTATCTGTCCCATAGAATGGCTTCAGACTGTCCCGACTGTGTCCCCTAGTGGGTAACCAGTGCCATATATGCCATATACCACCGGAGTCAGGTCTACTTTATTGTAGCCCAGGTCATTTTCATTTGCTTCATGCCTCATATTAACCAGATTGCATAAAAAACCTTAGTGGTTTTATGCCTCATATTAACCAGATTGCATAAAAAACCTTAGCTGTTTCATGCCTCATACTAACCAGCTGACAGTCTGAAGCCATTCTATGAGACGGAGAACCCACTAGGATGCACTGTCGGGACAGTCTGAAGCCATTCTATGGGACTGATAATGGCTAATAACGTCCATTTAATGGATGATAATGTCCGAAGCGGGTGCAGCAAGCACGAGTAAGGATCTATTTACCAGAGAAAACCGTGATGGTTCAACTSTTGAAGGTTTCTCTGTATGTTGGTTCTCACAGCTCTTACGGATGACGATCACCAAACAGAGGCTGGGAGACGAGGAGGTCGGTGCTCGACACTTCCCTGCACATGAGAGAGAAGATCTGGTCAGACAGCTGGAAAGAGCAAGAGAACAGGTGAGGGCTGGTGACTTTTTTCAGATACTTCTAATGGTTTTAGAGGCTGTGGTAGTTGGCAAAAACACAGGAGACAGAACTGAGAGTGTCAGAGCTGAAGATGCTGAGGTTCTCACTGGGAWGGATAAGATTAGGAATGAGATCATCAGAGGTACAGGTTGAAAGACTGAGATGGTTTGGGCATGTGCAGAGGCGGGRCAGTGGGTAGAAGGTTGCTAGAGATGCAGCTGTCAGGAAGAAGACAAAAAGGAAGGTTAAAGAGGACACAAAGGTCRTTGGAGTGAGGACAGAGTGAGATGGAGGAGAGTGACTCGACGGTAAAATGTGACCAAAACAAGATAAATCATTAACCATCCCTGTGTAGACTGATCATCAGTGTTTGTAACTCTGGGCGTGTTGGCATTTTGCTGCAGAATGAGGTGTTGGAGCACAGCGTGAAGTCGCTCACAGACGAGCTGCAGGACGTGCGAGCAGAGCGCGACGTGTTCCAGCAGAAGGCTCATCGGCTCAACGTCGAAATGAACCACATCCTCGGGAACGATGAGATCCGCCTTCTAGACATAGATGCTCTCTGCATGGAGAACAGGTTGGAGGGTTTAGTGTGGACCTAAAACAGTACAGTACTGTGACATTTAGGTTTTACTGGGCCACTGAGGCCTTCTTTGTTGTTTTACCAGGTGTTTGAATAGTGATTTTGTTTTTGAATACAATGTTTTTTTTAGGTATTTACATGAGCGGCTGAGTCAGTTTCAAGAGGAGGTCAGCCTTCTTAAAAGTAACCTGGTAAAGTACAAGGTACCTATATRCTACATCCTGTATTTTCTTATTTTATACCTGCATTTTTACTTTTTTATCATTAGTTTTCTTTCATTTTTACAATTCATGTATGAAATGAACACCTGTACTCCTTGGACATATTTCAGAGTGCTCTGGAGAGCAGGAAGAATTCTAAAATCAGTGGCAAACCCAACAGTAGCGCTCTGACTGGAGTGCTTTCTGCCAAACAAGGTGAGAAGACTCTTTTATGTGTGTGCGCAGTTATTAATCTAAAGAGGTCCTAAATGCAGATTCAGTGAAAACTTGAGTTTGTACGGACGATGATGATGATGGTTTTGCAGTGAAGGAGCTGTTGCTGTCGGAGGAAAACGGCTGCAGTTTGCCYGTCACTCCTCAGTCCATCTCAGACCTGAAGTCTTTGGCTACGGCTCTGCTGGAAACTATCCACGAGAAGAACATGGTGATCCAGCACCAACGGCAAATCAACAAGTACTGACCCTCACGCGGTGCCTTCGAATTTCTCTCTGATTAAGCTGCTGAATATAATGAGTGCACACGCTTCCAGGCAGAACTCGTGTGTTTAACTCTTTCAATTTTTTTTCGTTCCATCTCGTTAGGATTCTTGGAAATCGAGTAGCAGAGCTGGAGAAGAAGCTAAAAACGCTTGAGATGTCAGGATTATGGAGCCTTCCAGGTGGATATCAGTGCAGAACTGAGACATGTTTTTGTCACTCTCTTGTAACCTCGATTCAGTTTACAATAATTTCCTCTTCGTCTCCTGCTCTTTTTCTTCTTGCCACCTGGAGGCCTGACTTATAATGTGTCTCTTGGAGTGTTTGGAAGTACGTTCCTCTGAGAATTAAAATCTAAATCTTTTTCTGTTATTCCTCATATCTACCAGCATTTACTAAATGTAGCTATGTTTATGTTTTTTTTTACCTATTAAACCTTAAAGGCAAATATTTTATTAGAAAAACTCATTTTGAATGTTTCATCATAGGAGGAAAAGACACCATCATCCTGAACACACACAAACCTGAACAAGCTGGATCTCCTGGACAGGAAGGTGAATATTCACTGGAAGCTGAATCGGGTTTATTACCCATCACATCAAAACAAGGATTAAGTCTAAAAAATGTATGTGGAGAAATAGGCAGATATAGTGTTTTGATTAAAACACTTGCAAAAATTACATTTTGTCAAAATATAACATAATTGTGTTATCAATGTATCATTTCAATGAACTGTCTTAAATATTATCCTAATTTTTTAAAGCGCTCTTTTGAGCATTAGCAACCAAAAACCTGATTTTGAGGAAAAACACCTTAAAATGGTTAGATTTTCAATGTAAAGCTATCAAAGCTTTTGTTTCTTTCCAGTTGGGAAATCTCAATATTCAAATACTATTTGAGGTTTCTTTTTTAAATTTACATAAAAAAATCCTCTTTAAAATTACATAAAATTAGGATTTAGACCAAATATTTATGTATTATTGTAACCAACAAGACAAATTAAGTAATATCTCTGGATCTACTAATGATATCAGGATGATCTAAGTATCAAAATGTAGCTTTTAAAGCCAGGAATCTGAAAATATGATTAGGTCATTTTGACCAAATTTGATTTAATCCTCATTTCGATGTGATGGGTCACATATTTTTCTTTTTGTCTTTGCAGGTGTAAGCGCTCCTGAAAGCGCTCCAGATGCTCCGCAAACCACTCCAAACCAAGTCGGCGAAACGCTGGTCGTGTCCGACGTTCAGACAGACGCTCCGTCGTCGCCATCAGACGTGGAGACGTCGCAGCAGAACTCTTCACAGCAGCCGGCTGAGGAAGCGCCAGCTGACCCTCGAACCGAAGCAGCAAACGGTGAAGAGTTTCACCAAAGCGATCAGTCACAAACCATAAAGGATTGTGCTGATTTGTCAGCAGAAGACAAATGCRTGAGGGACTCGGCTCCTGATGCAACACATCTGAACAAACGTCATCCGTCGTCAGATCTCTGCCAACCGTCRGAGAGCTCCGAGCCAATCAGGAGAGAAGAGGACGAGTCTGGAGAGTACAATGGAGGGCTGGAAACTAGTGAGACAGAGTCCTTCATAAAAGATGACAGTAATGTAGTTCTACCTATGACTGAATGGCAGCAGGAGGTCGTCCTGTTAAAACAGGAAGTAGACGTTTCTAACAGCCTGGACTCATAGAGCCTATCACGAGTTGTGTCGTAGCGTTTAGAGAAGCAGACACGACTGCTCCAGTGTCTCCTGTAGCTCCACCTTTTAAAACCAATCAGATTCTGCCTCCAGGACATCCAGACAACACATCTGTGTTTGATTAGTGAACAGCACGTTTCATAACCATAGCCTCAAATATACTGCTGTAACAGCCTCTCACTTCTGGCTGCTGGTTTTATCTATCAATGTATAAAAGGGAAAAAAAAAAAAGGAGAACAAGAGATTTACTGATTTAAACAAATCATTGGAGAAGCTGATTTTAACAGAAAAATCAGATCCCTTTACAGTATTTAACTAAAGCTTTTTATGAACTTTTGTTTCTCATTGAACAATGAACAAAAGGATGTTAAGTTATTTAAAATTGGTATATTTGCCAGAAACTTTGAATTTCTGTAAGTATTACCCAAGAAAATCTCCAAGAAACTTCCTAAATCTTGACACCATGTTAACACATTCACCTACCAAGCTGTTTCAGCAAGGCACAATTTTCTATTTTCATACAAAACGTGCACACCTAGCAGTCTTTTTATTAGATCTTGTGTGGTATTGTTTAATCTRTTTTTTTTCCAAAGCCAGTTTTGTCAAGTTTTAAAAATTATAGTCATAGAAGTTATTTTCACATATGTGTCGGTACTGCTTCACCAGTTATTTCATTAAATATATTGAATAATCTTGTATGCTTTGTTGTCATTTACTGATATGAAATGCTGGCGGTTGGTGCTGAAATAGTTTGCTGAAAATATTCTTTTACAGATCCACAAACATCCTCACTAGATGCAACTTTTATTATTATTTTTAAGAGTATTGTTTTTAACAAACAAAAATGATGCAAAAGAATTTCCAAAATTAAAATAAGCTCTTGTTAATTTATAAAAAAATATCTATATATTGCAATATTTGTTTTGTATTACTAATAATGAGATTTGTTCTTTTGTTTAAAGATCACAGACTACGTTGGGGCAAAAGGTAAGTATTTTCTTCTAGATGATGATTAGATGCMAGAATGGCTTTTGATGGTTGGAAAACGTAGCGAATGTCACCTTTTGTGATAATGAAGAAAAATGTCAGAATCACCCAGGTCACTGAAGTTTATCAGTGATTTATTTGTTCAAAGTCCACAACAATTTATTGACATTTTCTTTGAAGTTTTAGTTTGCTTGACTGCCCAATCACCAGCAACACATACATGGGACAAAACAACTGTTTCTCTGTGTTTGATAAGCTGATGTAAATCTTTATTAGATCAAAAGTACAAAATGGTGACCGGACAACTGTGTGCTGAACAGAACCACCTCCATGTTGTGGGTCTATTTCCTCCTGAGCTGCATGGCATACATCTTGTGTTGTTTATTCCACTGACTGGGGGAGGAAATCCCAATAATACAGCAGGCGAGCCTCCGGCCTGCATTTCCATGCATCAGACTGCCAGCGTCTCCACCTTGCCCCAAGTCATCTATATTTTCATGAAGCACCACTGCTCTCCCGARCACAGACAGCCCGCCAAACAGTGTCGCCTCAGATTCTCGCAGTTCACCGATTCTTCCATCTTGGGGCACAAAGTTACCAAAGTCTCCTGGGTGATTGGGGTGATTGACACCATGTGGGTTGTAGTGGCCTCCGGTGGAGTCACATCCCTGATTCAGGTCTCCATACTGATGGATGTGAATGGCTCTGGGCTCTGGAGGGCCCTCTTTGGGGAAACCGCTGAAGCGGAGGAGGACTTGGAGTTTTCCCTGAAGCTCCTGTTTGAASAGCACCTGCCCGTAGACTTTGGGCAGACCCTCATCGGGGAGCGAGGTGCTGGGTCTCACCTTGCAGGCTGCATACAGGGAACCATTGTTCTGAGAGATTTCTGGTGGAAGCAGCGTATCGTTTTGACCTGAGACACAGTGCTGGAGGCCTGCCAGCAAGACCAGCAGAACAGGTTTCAGTCCACTCACAGACCTAAAACACCACAGAGTGAGTAAAACAGTGTATAAAATAAGCCACAAAGCAAAAAAAGAATCCTGGCAGTAGAAAAATCCTTTCCATAGCCGTTTTGTTTGCAGGTGTTTGTCTTTTTTCAGTGGTAGCCAAGAGAGCATATATGTGATCACGGTTTTCACAACAGTATGTTGGTATATTCAAAATAAACACACAATATTTTTAAAAGAGTTGTGGTGTAAAACTGATAAACATTCTGATGTGAAAATAAAGGTGCAATTACATTTAAAAAGCAAACTTACCTGTGAAAGAGCATGGTGGTTACAATGAAAACAGCAAATTCTGTTAAAAAACCCGTTTAGACTCTGCAGAGACACTAAAGTCCAATCAGTCTGACTGAGCCAAAAAGATATGGGAGCTCATGAAAAAAGGAGGTGTTTCTGATGGGGGAGGAGCAGGTTTCTTTCTGGGGTGTTTTTTTTTTTTTTTKTCTCCTTTTTTGAGTAAATCTGTGTTTTTTTGCTAATCATGAGCTTAGAGACACTTGTTTACCAAAATAAACCACAATTCTCAAATTTGCTGTAAGTTATATTTTCTATACTGTACTTACATGACTAATGATGTCACAAAGTCATGATTTTAAGCTGTATCTATTAAAAATTAGAACAAAAATATATTTCTCAATAAAATGGAATGCAATGAATTTCAGCACTGAGTTGAGCCCCTGTTAAATCTTGTTTTTGTGCTATGATTCATTCACACATAAGAGTTGTTAGACATAGATGAGCACAAGGATTAACTTAGTGGTGTAAATTAGATTATGAAATTAATGGTAATTATAACAACAACATAACGAAACAAAGATTCCACATAACCTCGATTTATTCCAGTGAAGACGGGAAAAAAATACGCGAAGATTTAATAATTAACAATCAGACAACATGCTGTTTTTAAAGTCAGTACTGCCTCCGGACCAGAGGGTGGCGCTAACACAGTCTGTAAAGAACAATGTAGAACATTACAGCGCTTGGATTCAGGAAACCGACATAGTTGCGTTTTAATCATCTGCATTGATTGTGTTGGTTGGGAAAAGATAAACCAATCTTCTCCCAAATATGTCCAAAAGACACCGTTTGGATTTGGGTGATGACTACACCTCCAGCAAGAAGAGGTCTGATGGGTAAGTAAATCTCCGACATTTGTTTATGGCACTTAAACAAGGTAGCTACAAAGCTAATTATTAGCTAACATTAAAGAGCCGAAACAAAATAACCTTCGTTGTATAAAATGTAGCTGGTTTTTAGGACAAGCTTCTTATCAGCATATGATTGGACTTCAAATACTTGGTTCTAAATRTTAATTAGATTGTGAGTGCTGCTGGTTTTTAGCAATCACGCGGTTTATCATCGTTAGCTGCACGTGTAAGGCTAATGGTGACTTAGCCACCTGCTAATATCCTCTAACTGAGGCTTACAACTTGCTCCTTTTGTCGTGACTTATTCTGCAAACTTTAATGGTTGTGATTTGGGATCTGTAATATATGTATCGTCAAAAACAAAACCGAATCAGTTCTGAGTGTTGGGGTAGCTGATGGAAACAAAAGGGGTGCTAAAGCAGTTTTGAAACAGAATCATTATCAGAAATCTTTATCCTCAAGTATGCTTGTACGCAAATGTTTCTCTTGGACTCTGAGACTCTGAGCACTTGCATCTGTTTACAGGAACACAAATATTAACAGCGTGTGTAAATAAAGGCTAAGKAAAATCTGTTTAGGCCGCACCGTAGCAGAGTGCATGATGTTTACCATTGGCGCTTMGTGCTTTGGAAATAAATGGGTTGCATTTCTTGTAAAAAGTTACATATTTAGGAGAAAATGTACAYACTTTATATAAAGTTGCTTATGTATAGAACAGCATTATTTCCTGCAAGTGAATAGAGGCGAGAAATGCACATGTAGTTTATAAAATACATAGCTTAAAAGTAAACACAAGGCATTTTACATTATATTTACCCATATATACTTGCTGAAACTTTCAGGGCAGATGAAATGATTTTTGAGGTAGATGAAATAAGAGGAAAATATATAAGTGCTTAGATTTTCCTGGTTGTTGTGCTCTGAAGGATTTAGTTTGAGGCAGCATCTCAAGAATCATTACMCTTATTGTGTCCTGAGATTTCTTTTTGCAGCTTTTTGTCTGGTTTTGGGGAAAATAAATAYTGATCCTGGATGGGGGTCAGTGTGACACAGACCACGCTGACAGCTGCAGCTTACCGATATGCAATTTGTTTAAATGATATCGATATGCTGTCTTTTTGCCCTCAGGAGAGACCGGGACCGTGACAGAGACCGTGAGGACCGTTCCAGGGACCGGGATCGAGACAGAGATCGAGACAGGGACAGAGACCGGGACAGGGACTCRAAGCCTTATGCTGCTCCCTCTAATAGCATGGCATCTGTGCCGAGCTTACCACCTCTCAAGCAGATGGCTATGCAGCAGCAGATCAACCCTTTCACCAACCTGCCACACACGCCGCGCTACTATGAGATCCTGAAGAAGAGGTTACAGCTCCCAGTGTGGGAGTACAAAGAAAGCTTTAATGATATCATTACACGYCAACAGAGCTTTGTCCTTGTGGGAGAGACAGGCTCTGGGAAGACAACACAGGTAGGACATGCTGGACATTAGTCTGTTATAATCTGGATATTCCAACCCTGTTTGATGCATGTGAAGTTTGATGTCTTGAGTTTTGTAAAACAATCATTACATCTTTAAAAAATCTGCTCAAAGCTGATTCTTTTTGTTTAAATCTTTAGATCCCACAGTGGTGTGTAGACATGGTCAGAGCCCTGCCTGGTCCAAAGCGGGCAGTCGCTTGTACTCAGCCGAGAAGGGTGGCTGCCATGAGTGTGGCTCAAAGGGTGGCAGATGAAATGGATGTCATGCTTGGACAGGAAGTTGGTTACTCCATCAGATTTGAGGACTGTAGTTCTGCTAAGACTATACTAAAGTAAGGGATGCTTAATGGTTTAATATTGCAACGTTAAATATTTATCTGACAAAGCTGATGAAGCTATTTTAAGGAGAAACTTCCAATTTGTTAAGGTGTTTCTTATATTTTACAGGTACATGACAGACGGTATGTTACTGAGAGAGGCAATGAACGACCCTCTGCTGGAACGATACGGTGTGATCATTCTGGACGAGGCACACGAGAGAACTCTTGCCACAGATATCTTGATGGGCGTGCTGAAGGAAGTGGTTCGCCAAAGACCAGATTTGAAGGTTTTTTTTTTTTTTTGTTTATGCAGCTTCCTTTAACGCTACTAAAGTTAAAGTGTGCAGCTGTGTTAATCTGTGTAACGTTTGTTCTCAGGTGATCGTGATGAGTGCCACACTGGATGCTGGGAAGTTTCAGGTGTATTTTGACAACTGCCCTCTGCTGACAATCCCTGGACGCACACATCCTGTAGAAATCTTTTACACCCCTGAGCCAGAGCGGGACTACCTTGAGGCAGCGATTCGCACYGTCATCCAGATTCATATGTGTGAGGAGGACGAAGGTGACTGCCTGTTGTTCCTCACAGGCCAGGAGGTAAGTCKTACTTTGCTTTGCAGTTCTTGAAACTGCAATGTTCAGTTTCTTAACATTTTATTATTTTGTGTGTGTGTGTGTGTCAGGAAATTGACGAAGCCTGCAAGAGAATCAAGCGTGAGGTTGATGACCTCGGTACCGAAGTCGGAGATATCAAAATCATTCCACTGTATTCCACACTGCCCCCACAACAGCAGCAGAGGATTTTTGAACCGCCGCCTCCAAGGAAGCCAAACGGTGCGATAGGAAGAAAGGTCGGTTTTATTAAAAGATCAAAGGAAATGGATTATTTTGCAGTTATTTTACTTGTTAGAATAAGTATTTGACAGCTTGTGTTCCTTTCAGGTGGTCGTTTCAACTAATATTGCTGAGACCTCTCTAACAATCGATGGTGTCGTGTTTGTCATTGATCCTGGGTTTGCCAAACAGAAGGTGAGATAAAGTGACCCACTTTAGGAGGCAGTTTTGCTTTAAACTTATTCTACATTTGTTAATGAAGGTGTTATCTCATACAGTATGTCAATTATAGCATAATATCTGATAGGAAGTGTCTGTCTCTCTAAAATTTAGAGATGTTTATTTTTTTGGGGGGGGGTTGCCTTTCTTCTCATCAGCATACAGAAGTACCATTGCGGGTTGTTTATTTTAAAATGTTTAACTAAAACATGCATTTAAATGTGTGTCCAGGTGTACAACCCTCGTATCCGAGTGGAGTCTTTGCTAGTCACGGCCATCAGTAAAGCTTCTGCCCAGCAGAGGGCAGGTCGAGCTGGCAGAACACGTCCAGGGAAATGTTTCCGCCTCTACACAGAGAAAGCATACAAAACAGAGATGCAGGCAAGTGACACAAAAGCACAAAGTTTCTCTCCATGTTTGCTGTTTTGTTTCATTCAGGGATTAAAGGTCAGACAGAGGAAAGAGTGTGGGGGAGTAAAAGTTACAATGATTCATACTTTTACTTTGTCAAAGGGAGTCACAATCACAGAATCCAGCAAGTAGAAAAGGATGTGTCCGTGATTTTAATTATGTTGATTCATAGTTGATTGGAAACAGTTGGTTTAAATTCACCTACTTTTTGGGGAGTAATCTATTAAAATCAACACGTTCTTATCATTTGTTCATTGCTTGAAGTTTTGAAGGAGTTTATAGTTTTTCAGTTGTGTTCCTCAAGAAATCACAGCTCTTTGAGTGATTGTGACTCTGTAGCAACACTCAAACATACTTCAGCCATTTTCTTTGTGGTTTATATTTTGAATTTAACATCATAAATCTGCCTCTCCAGGATAACACATATCCTGAGATTCTTCGGTCCAACTTAGGATCCGTTGTGCTGCAGCTGAAAAAGCTGGGTATCGATGATCTTGTCCACTTTGACTTCATGGATCCACCAGGTGAGTCTTTCTGCATCAGTTCTAAAGATTATAGTTGGTTTGTTCGACTCGCTGATCTTCCTGACTGTTGGCTCGCTCCTCACTGCAGCTCCTGAGACGCTGATGAGAGCACTTGAGCTGCTGAATTATCTTGCAGCTCTCAATGACGACGGTGACCTGACGGAGCTGGGCTCCATGATGGCAGAATTTCCTCTGGATCCTCAGCTGGCGAAAATGGTCATTGCGAGCTGCGAGTTTAACTGCTCCAATGAGATCCTCTCCATCACTGCCATGCTGTCAGGTAATGCCCAGGACTGGGCTGACATCTTCATTTGTACTGTAGGACAGGTTTCCTGATCTCATTAAAATGATAATAATCTCCTAAGAAATTTAGGCTGTTTGAAGGATAATTTTAAATAGATTTATTCTTGTAAAACCTACCCTGCTACAGCTTATGATGATCAGTCTAAAGCGGTGAAAGTTGGATGGACATATCGCCCAGCCCTACTTAAAATGCAGTGTTGTTTTTGACGGCCATTTTAATTTTAGTCTTAGTCTTTTGAACAAAAATACTTCTTAGTTTTAATCAGTTTTAGTCATTTCTATATTTAATGGTTTTAGTCGAGTTTTAGTTGACGAAAGCTTAAAAAAATTGTTTAGTTTTAGTCAAGGAGGTTCTATAGAACAGCTGGAGTGCGCAAAAACCATGTGACCGTGTGATCGGCTGGTGGAGCTAACACTAAACGGGCAAAACTCTGGATTTCCCATTACTGTACATATTGGCAACAAAGCAGAAAAAGGACTGACGATGTATCAGAAAAACTGAGTCTGGAAAACTGTTATTTCGAAATGGAAAGTGTGTAGGAACTCTGTGTAGATATGTGGCAAAAATGACAGATTTTGTTTTTTGAAAGCCTGTCTTTCTAAAATAATTTCCCCCATGTTTAAGATCACCAACCTGTGGATAGGGCAGGCATCACTTCCTGTATTTTAATGTTTTTAGATTTCTTTTTCTTTCCGTTGACATAATATATTTTAAAATCTGAATTATTGCTTTGCAGAGCTGCCACAATATATAATTTAAACCAAAAAAAAAGTGAATAAAAAGTAAAAATTGTAAATACTGCTGGTGGTTTTAACACTTTGTAGCTGTGTGAAAACYCTTGTTTTACAGATGTGGTTAAATGAGTCCCCCTTCTCTACCAGCTAATATTCATAACTGTTGGAAATGACCATAAAAAAAGCTGCAGTCTCCCCGTCCTCTTCACACACACTTTGATAGAGACTGTGGTCCTGCCCTGTCCCAACGCAGTGTCAAGTGCCCTAGCATCATAGGCTTTGCTCCATATTTCTGTGAATGTTTGACTCATCCCTATGGGCGGCTTTGTTGGGGCCCATACCAACCTTGTTTAGTCCCACAGTGTTTCGTTCGGCCCACGGAGGCTAAGAAGGCAGCAGATGAGTCCAAGATGAGGTTCGCTCACATTGACGGAGACCACTTGACGCTGCTCAACGTCTACCATGCCTTCAAACAAAGTGAGTRACAGTCCATGCTGTAAATTTGTCTTGACCAATTAATGGATGCAAAACAACGCTGCAAAAAATAGCTATCTAAAAATAAGTTTAAAATACTAGTTTCTCGTTTGAATCTTCTCAAATGAAGTGAATTAATCAAGACAGATGAAACTTAGAAAAATTCCAGGCTAACACAAGATGAATAATTTATATTTTTAATTTATTTAATAACACATTCTGCTCTWATTTAGTRCATCAAGCTCAAAACAAGATCAAACATACTTTTTGGCTGGATATATTATTGCAAAACTTGGTTAGATGGACAGTTTTTGCAGTGTAAATGAGAGCAGCGTGATTTATTATAACATTAAAGAATGGGTGATTACTCATTGGAAGAAGAAACCTTTCTAAAACACTGGCTAAACTTTGCTAGTCTGACAAATTGGAGGGGTTTCTCTTCTAAAAGATCTCATTTTAAAATTGCCTGGAAAAGACAATCAGTTGACCATATTATTACTATTAATCAAAGTGTTACCAGAACCTTCCTTGGATGTGATTTTTATACGTGAAAGTTGGGCACTTCAGCTTCAGTATGAAACTTTTTTTTAGTATAGCTTTAATTATGCTATGAAGCTTTAAAGTCAATGTTTTCCTTGTTTAATTTGAAATCTTGTCATCTTTTCCCCAGACCACGAATCTAACCAGTGGTGCTATGACAACTTTGTCAACTACCGTTCCCTGATGTCTGCTGACAATGTGCGTCAGCAGCTGTCCAGGATCATGGACCGCTTCAGCTTGCCTCGGAGAAGCACAGAGTTCACCAGCAGAGATTACTACATCAACATCCGACGAGCGCTCTGCACCGGCTTCTTCATGCAGGTGAGCTGACCGAATAGTTCAAAACAAATTCACATTGTGATATTTGTACGCTAATGCTTGTTTTTGCCTTGCAAACGTCTTCATTTGTATCCTGTCGTTGCAGGTTGCTCATTTGGAGCGCACGGGCCATTACCTCACCGTCAAAGACAACCAAGTGGTCCAGCTGCACCCATCTACTGTCCTAGACCACAAGCCTGAGTGGGTGCTCTACAATGAATTTGTCCTCACCACCAAGAACTACATCCGCACTTGCACAGACATCAAACCAGAGTGGTATGTGTCCAGATGTTTTAACCTTGAGAATTAAGCTTTGATGCTTTCATCTTACTAACAAGATTATTTGTGTTCTCTTTGTGTTTCAGGCTGGTGAAGATTGCACCCCAGTACTACGACATGAGTAACTTTCCACAATGTGAAGCTAAACGACAGCTGGAGCGAATTGTTGCCAAGCTGGAGAGCAAAGAGTATTCTCAGTACTGAACAATAGACAAGAAGTGTTCTGAAAAACAACCGCATATTATAGTTTTAGGTCTTTCTGTATCTCTGTATCTTCATGTTAAACAGTTGGCTTTTTGATTTTTACAAGTTGTTTTCTTTTGCCTTTCCCCGTCAATGTCATTTCTGTAAGTAGGTGTCATAATGTCAGATGAACTCTCAGCAGCAGTTATTAGACYCCAGCTAATACGATTTTTCAAAAGAAATGATCAGAAACGGGTCATAAAAAACGTGGTTAGATTTCCATCAAAGTTTGGAGCTGAAACAAAATTTGTGCTTGCTTTGTTTCTTTAATAAAGGAGCTTTGACTTTATTTTTGTTTATAAATCAATAAGTGAAGCCCGTTAGACCTGTCTTTTGAAGAAAGTGTGTTTTTGCACTTTCTGCTACCTTTTTTTTCTTCCTTGCTGCTTTTTTAATTTAATGTATAATTTGATTTTATAAGCTGGTTAAACTTCAAATTGTGTTACTTCTGTTAACATTGACCTCAGCTTATATCATCTACTGTTCAGACAAAGTGTTGCTTCAATTTTTGTCATTTTCAACTGTAGAGACAAAAAAAAAGGTTTCAAGCACATTTGTGTTTTTAAATCTATTTTTATCATAATTAAGCATGTTTTATACATCTCATTTACTGATGGATTTCCAGATTACAGTAGATGATTAAACCTTGAAATAAATAAAAAACAGAAGGTTAAAAGGAAAAACAAAAGTTTTAAAAGTTAGGACCCATTAATAGTTGCCAACATCTGCCTTACAACATGAGTCACTCAGTCTGAGATAGTTGAAATCTGTTGAAGTTGGGTTCTATGGAAAGCTTGTGAACAATTAATAGYTTACCTGTTGTAGATAGTTAAARTATCTACAACAGTCATAATTCAGCAGTTATTAAAATTACTCCTAAATTAAATGTGAACTCGTCTTCGCACCCTCTTCTACCTTCTCTCTTCAATATCCTCTATGGTCTCTGGCAAGCACCTGTTGCGAGTCTCTGGCAGCGTTCTTGCTACCAAGCCGCCGAGCACGGCCGTGGAGAACAAGACCACCTGCGGCAGCTCCTTCCAGACCTCGTCCAGCAAAAGGATCAGAGGAGCCATGGCTACACCGAACCGAGCCATAAAGGAGTTAAAACCCAATCCGTTCTGCCTGAGGGGAAAAAAAAGGCAAAACTCCTGAACACAACAGACTAAATCCTAAGTTTTTATTTTAATAAAAGGAATTCTAATGTCTTGATTTAAGAAATGGAACATACAGTGAAAGAATCTTTAGTAAAGCCCAGATTTTACCTGACGACAGTTGGATACAGCTCTGAACTGTACAGCACAATAGTTGCAAAAGATGCTGAAGAAAACCCTTTTCCAACAACAGCAACAACTGTTCTGGCTACAGACATATCTGAAACAAAAATACATATATGAGATTATGTGTACTCTTCATGATGTGTATACCATAGTATGTTTCTCTTAAAACTGACAAATCTGAAAATCCCTGTCTTCCTACCTTTTGGCATCACAATGTTGATCCCCAGACAGAGGGCAGCCAACAACAGAGCTCCCACCTCAGTGCACCGCCTGCCTATTTTATCCAGTAAAAAGTAAACGGACACTTTGGCCGGCAGCTCGATTGAAGCGTAGATAAACTGAGTGAGGTAGATGTTCAGGCCAAAACCTGCTATGTTGAAACTGATGCCGTAAAATGTAGTTGCTATGAAAAGCCTGGGCATAGAAATTATGACATAATCAATATTTATCTCAATTTTAGGGTAACCTGTGCTCATTAAAATATAATTCATAGGGTATACAGACCATAACAGGCCAGTACGCAGGGCCAGTTTCCTCATATTAGGTGTTCTTATCAGGTCAAAGTAGGAATAGGTTCTGTCTTTCTTCTCTGTCACCACAATAGTGGATAATGTCTGGAAAAAAAATCAAGCAGCATTATTCTTAAAACCATGCTGTCAAAAAATTACTATAAATAAGAACCAGATTTTTCTATTCTGTTGAACAGCCAACCTCTGTTTTAAGTGTGTGATTGAACTCCTCTCTGTGATTCATCTCGGCACATTTCTTCAAATACATCTGAGCTCGCTCTAGTTTTCCGTTGGCGATGAGCCACCTAGCCGAGTCTGGCATCCACCTGATTATTACAGAGAATTTTTTTTAAATACAGTAAAATTCAACTTTGTCCTCACCCAAAATTATACCTGAATGTGCTCAAAAACATTTAATGTCATTTGTTGAATTGTGCAAATTTTCATGTAATGATCATAACAGGATTTTTATCCCGATATTGTCCTTTTTTTGGTCAATAGCTGATTTTTTTTACACATTTACAGAAAACAATTGTGCAGCAACATCTGATATCTAAATGACATCAATTATTACCAACTATATACCATTTTTTTCTCTTTTAAAACACATTTCCTATGAGTAAAGTACTTGTGTTGCACTTTCAAGCATTCTGTTAGACATTAGTTCAACCAAACTGTCGAGTCATACCGCCAAGTAATGATGGACAAGATTAAAGGTGATGAAACAACAACAATCAGACTCCGCCACTCAGTCACAAAATAGGCAATGGCTGCAAATACAGCGCTTCCAAATGTCCAGGACAAACTATCCAACATTCCCACCATTTTCCTGTGCTTTATGTCAACCCACTCCACACCTGCAGAGAGGAAATCAGTAAAGGATCATTATGATATGATCATCCAATTAAGACAAAGCTTGAATTTCAAAACTTAAATTAGAAGGGGAAAAAAGCTACATTTGTTTGCCTGGACCTCTGAGGTCTCAGTATAACATGAGGTGTATTAAAGAATGTGTAACCAGACAGGATTGAAATGAATTACTGAGGACTGTTGAGATGATGACAATGCCAGTGATGCAAAACCCCGTTAAGAACCTCAGCACTGCAAACATCTCGTATGTCGTCGAAAAAGCAGTTGTGACGGCGAAGAGAAGTGCAGACACATACGACACCAGCAGCATGATCCTTCGACCAAACCTACAAAATCACAGTCGCACAGTTTACTGCCCTGTAGTCACTTGAAGATTGTTCAGATATTTTGCAATGGATTTTAGTGGAAAGACGATGAAAAATATCTTAAATGCTCTATGTTGCTCATTGAATTTATCCTCAATTTGGAGAAATTGAGATTAGTCTGAGCTACGCCAAGGCAGAAATGGATCACATCTTACTGGATCTTAAAATAATTTACAATTAGTCATCACCTCAATAAGCTCTATCTACATAAACCAAGGCTTTTCAAAGAGCTATCTACAGCAGGTAACTTAATTTTCAGAACTACTTCACAAAATTTCACTTCAAAAAGTTTAAATAATCCCATGTTTTAAAACCTAAATCCATACCTGTCACTTAGACTTCCAAAGCACACGGCTCCAAGCATGACTCCAATGAAAAAGATGGTAGTAGTTACTTTATTTTTGCCTCGTCTATGACACACCAGGTTCCACTTAAACCAACAGATGAGAAAAAAGAAGCACTTAAGTAATTTACTTTATAAGCAAAATAGTTCATGCTAGTTTGGTTTTAAACAGAAAAACGGGTTCTGAGATCACCTCTGAGGTTATAGATGACTTGAAGGTTGTATTATCGTACACCCATCCATCATTGCACTCAGTAGTGGGCACATTGGTGAAGTTAGAGGAGTTGAACAGCAGATGATACTGTGGCTCTGCAAACATTTGACAGGAGCTCAGGCTCCCATCCTCCTGGATCGGAATACTAACAATAACTTTTTGTTCCTGGGATAAGTTCATRAAAACAACTTCATCATCCAGAGAGCCGACGTCACAGTGGTGATCAGGTACTGCTGCTATGAAATTGTTCAGCATGAAGTGGCAGGGGAGTGTGAAGCGACCGAGGAAGTTGAATGCAATGATCATAATCTGAAATCTTCCAAAGCCATTAATATCAGTAAGAACGTTCTCAAACCTCATCGTGGTCCCCGACTGACAGCAATATGTTGTCCTTCAGCACGAACAAAAAACTATAAATTGTCCTGTTGTACCCATCCTTGTACTGTAATTGTAAATCATAGTTTGAATCTTTTCCCAGATGGAACAACCTTTGGCATTTGATTAATCAACTACCTGCAAGATTACGTATGAAAGGAGTGAATCTTTAACCACTCAAACAACTTTTTTATTATTTTATGTTTGCGACTCTGAAACGAAATGTCCATGTACTGATGGTATTACAGCACTTGTAACAACATGGAATTATCACTTCAGAGGGTGCCTTTTTTGCCTTTTAATTTTGAACAAAAGAACACAGATTTACACCTTTTTTTAAATTAAATGTCACTGCAAATTATGGAATGAAATATTAAAAAGGTTCTTGAACAACTTTACCGCAGTAGTTTTCCAGATATATTGATAGGCAATTTTAAAGTGTGAGTCAACACTCAATGTAAACTAAAACCTGGATGAATCTGATCAAAAAGAAAAAAATAAGGAGGTCCTCTGAATGGGTTCTTCTTTAGTGAAACRTTTCATCTCTCCTCCAAGAGACTTCTTCAGTCTGATGAGTTTCAGGTGAACTCAGCCTTATAAGCACTGCCTCCACATGGACAAACAGGTTAGTCACATGCAAAAGAGGGCCATCTCCTAACAATAGGCTTGATTAGCTCTATTGTTCATAGAGGATTATGTGCCCCATCACCTGACTTATTGGTTTGGATGCTTCGGTTGTGGTTATTTGGTGTTTTGTTAAGTGTATGTAGTGAGTGCAAGTGGGGTTCAATGTCCCCTTGTTTTTGTCTTTTTTTTCCCTCTTTGTGTTGGGTATCGTTGGGGCCCTGATTCACACCTTTTGCTCACATGGGGCTGAGTCATACTTGCAATAACAACRTTGTAGGAGGAGGACAACTGGACACGAAGGCCTCCACCTCTGTTTAATGGTGGACGGGTTTTCTTCACAAAGATGGCTTCCTTTACTCCTCTCTCAAACCAATGTTCCTCTCTATCAAGGATGAGAACATTTTCATCCCTGAAAGAGTGACCGCTGGCTTGTAGATGAGTGTAAACTGCAGAGTCCTGACCCGACAACGTAGCTTGTCTTTGCTGGCTCATTCTTTTGAACAGTGGCTGTTTTGTTTCCCCGATGTATAACTGATCACAGTCCTCCTGACACTTAACAACATATACTATATTACTCTGTTTTTGCCAGGGAACTGGATCTTTGGGGTGAACTAATCTTTGTCGTAACGTGTTTTGGGGTTTGAAAGCCACTGGGACGTCATGTTTAGAGAACAAACGTCTCAGTTTTTCTGAAACCCCCCGCCACATATGGATTGACTGAATCTGTTGAACACCAAGTAGATACTAGGTCACACGACTGACCTACATTAGACTGGCTATAGTCTGTGTTGTTAAAACAATATGGCGGAATTGCCCAAGTGTAGAATCTCAGAGAAAATATGCTGGTGAAAGTATAACAAGAGATTTCTTGCTAACCTCCAGTGGTGGGCGCAGTTCCACTAAAGCACTAATAGGGGAACTAATTTCCTGATTAGTGCTTTAGGGCTTTTGCTAATTTTAAAATTTATTACTGGATTGGCACTTGCTAAATTTATAGGCAAAATTTAGAAGCACTAACTGAGGTTMCGTTAATKTTAACAGCTGAGGGTGAAAACTGTTGCACATTTTGTTCATATTTGTGTCACTTATCCACCAGGTGGCATTACATATTGACAATAATGAACCCCTAACATGGCTGTGGAATGTCAATGATAAGTCTTAAGAGAGCAACATGGCAATATGTCACTCATGTTTTCTGTTGAAGAATGATCGTGGGGTGACTGGGTTATTTTTGTGCTTTAGAATCAGMTTTTGCTAAATTTTCAGTGYGTTCGTGCTTTTGAATTAGGGGACCTGAATATTTGAGTTAGTGCTTTAGGKCTAGTGGAACTAATTTTTAGATTAGTGCTGCCCACCACTGCTAACCTCCATGCATAAATTCTCCTGTGGAGTTTTGAACCAGTGACCTTCTCACTGTGAGGCACCACTGTTAACCAGCTACTCTACTGTGCAGCTTTTGGACATAAGTGTGTCACCAAATTTTATCAAGACCCCAAGAAACTGTGTGAGATCAATCAATACTTAAGCTTTTTGAATGAGGGTTCACTTCCTCTGATGAAGTAAGTTAAGAATTATTTTGTCATTTAGTTATAATAGAAGAGATGTTGGTTGGGTGAATGCTTATTGTTAAATGCTACATGTGTTCAGCCATGACTCATGCTRAACAAGTTTGGGTTTACACCAACGCTTCTAAGAAAAATAAGCTTAAAAATTAAAGATCTATCCAAATTGTTTTGGCAATTGTTAGAGTATGGTGTTTAAAGTTAATACCCAACTTTTAACAGATAACATATTGGTGGAAAAAGTATAAATATGAAATAATGTATCACAAAGTTTGGACGTGGTCAGTGTATGCGTGATTCATTTGATAAATTATTAATAAGAAGGAATAAGAGATCCATAGATTTGAATGTTGTGTTCGATTATATCAACCTGAAAAAGGGATTTAGGTTACAAAGTTTTGTTTATTGCTCATCCTGTCTGTCAGTCATCAGAAATGCACTTACATGTGAAGACGTATGAAATCAAGACCTCAAACACACAGCTGTTGGTGAGTGCTGAGCATTTATTGAGATCAGAATAATATTTTTTGCTACACAGAAACAGATTATTATTTTGTGAATTCAGACATATACAGTTTGATTTCCTGTCAGTGGATGCTTATTTTGGACTTTTGCCGTGTCATGCCTTTTCTGTCTACTCTTGAAGCAGTTGCTGCTGCTGATGTTGTGCTAGACATCACTCCAAACATTCATTACAGAGTGGACTTCTCATCAGATGTGGGGATTGATCGTCTCCTGTAAAACAGAAGCACAAATGCATTATTTGATGTCAAACTCTCATTTATAATAACTGAAAAGAGGTTACGATAACACACCTTGTCTGTTCCACATCCTCGATGGTTTCAGGCAGATGGGCATTTAGAGTCTCGGGAAGAAAAGAAGCTGCCAGTGTTGCAGTCAGAGTTACCAGAGTGAAAAGAATGCCAGGCAGGTAGCTCCAGGTGTCTTCAAGAATTATCATCAGCGGTGATACAGACACACCTATACGGGCCATGAAGGAACTGTAGCCTAATCCATTTTGCCTGCGTCACAAAACACAATAATTTCTTATTTTAATTTCTTCATGACTTGTTTGTTAAACATAGGTAACACATAGTTTACCCAGACCTCATGACTGTTGGGTAAATCTCTGTTGTGTACAGGAACGTAGTTGTAAAAGCTGCCTCCGCAAACATCTTGCCCAATGCGCCTAAAGTGGTCCGTGCAGTCCCCTGATCTGAAAAGAGAAAGTCAAAAATCTCACTGCTGTCTCACCAAGACGTTTCCATACATCCACTCGTTCCACACTCATCACATCCAACTGCCTTCCTCTTCTTCATCTGCTTCAAGGCTTTCCAAACTTCATCCTCACTGTATTTCAAATTTCCTAAAAGTACTAACCTTCCATCTTTCTATCACATTCTCCTCACTTGTTAGAACAGTACTATTTTTATCTTTAGCGATCCTAACCTTCTGCACATCTTTTCCAGCCTGATCCTTCTCTCTCTCACCAGTCGATACAAGTCCTTACTTGGTGTCCAGCCTCTTGTACAAATATTATACACCTTCTTTTATGCCTTTGCTACTTTCCTCTTTGCCCTATGTTGCATGTCTTTATTCCATTCTACACTCACCAGTCCTCTCACGGTCCCATTCTTCTGTCTTCCTCTGGACAAAATCCTGCACTTCATTATTCCACCACCTGATCTCCTCACCCTTTTTTCTTTGTCGAGATGACACRTACCTTCCTACTTGTCTCTTTAACCGTGGTTGCTGTAGTATATCAGAATCACCTGGAAGCTCTCCTCCTTGAACTCCTCACAACATAATTCCATCCTCAAATGTCACTATCTTGTATTCTTCTCTGACTTTACTTTTTTCCCTTTTCTTCACCAAATCTGAACTATATCTTTAATGTTCCTTTAAGCATCCTTGTTGAAATTAAAACAAAGATGAACTACAGTTTTTTTTTACCTCGAGGAATAAGCATGCTGCAAAATATACACAGTCCAGTCAGGAATAATGTTCCAGCCTGAGTCAGCCTTCGGCCTATTTTGTCCAGAAAGAAGATGACAAAAGCTTTTGCCGGAACTTCTGATATGCCGTAGATGAACTGTGTGAGATAAATGTTCACTCCAAATCCATCTACGTTCAAGCTGATCCCATAATAAGTACAAGCCACTCCAAACCTGTGTGCAAGAGCAAAGCAAATCATTGGTTTTAAGACATTGAAGTTCTTAACTAATTCTAGTTTGTTATTTCATATCCTCACTAAGCCAGTGTTTTAAGCATGTAAGGTAGCTGTGTGTAACAACACATCTGTTTTGCGTTGTAGTATTGTTGCTGACATTTTCCTGACTAAAAATGACACGCACCACAATGTGCCAGTAAGAAGAGCCAATTGTCTCATTTTAGGGGTCCGTATGAGGTCCACAAAGGAGTATTTTCTGTTTTCATTCTCTACAAATATTACTTTGGACAAAACCTGGAAATTAAAAGGAAAATACAGATCAGAGAACATGAGTTTTACAGCTGCAATGACTTGATGAATTTGTAAAATTTTCACCTCAGGCTTCAGGTCAGCCATGAATTCCTCTCTGCCATTGAATTTTGCACATTTACTCAGGTAAAAATGAGCACTGTTCACTCTTCCATTACTTATCAACCACCTGGCAGACTCAGGGAGCCACCTAGAATAGAAGTTGTTTTTTTTTTTTTTTGGTCAATGGCACATTATATTTGAAATGTACTTAGCAGCTTCAATTAAACAAAGTCTTTAACAGTAACAAAAAGAAAAACCTCAGTAAAACTCTTGTCCTTACCACCAGGTGAGCATGGCTACAAACAGTGGGGCGGTCACAGTGGCAGTCAAGTACCGCCATTCATTCACAAGGTAGGCCACAGCAGGTAATATTATAGTTGAAACACTCCAATCCAAACTTAACAAAACACCCACCAAGGTTCGATGCTTGATGTCCACCCATTCAATACCTGCAAAGAGCAGTATTTCAGACCTTTTTAAYAAGGTTAAATGACAAAACTTGACAAAAAGTTTGGAGAAAAAAGGCAGTTAAGCACTGTTCTTTGAAGGTAAAGCCCAAATGAGTCACATAAAATAGAAAAACAGGCCAACAATGCACCTCTTAAAAAGTCACATTTTCTTTGGCAAATTCTATGTGGGTATACAATTGGGACTTTAATTTTTGTCAATACACCTATAGGACAAGCTTATAAGCTTTAAAAGTGTAGGCTATACCTTATGTCATTAAGAGCAAGAGCTGATATGACCTCTTGACTTGCATGGCACATGAAACATGATGATATGACCATAAGCAAAAATTTTTACAATATAAAATACAAGGAAAATCCAACAGGTCCACTAGCAGAGATCACAAGAATAGCAGAAACATTTGCCCTGTAAAGAGATTGAAGCTATGCAATTGTAGTATTGCATGATGTCATTTCAAAGTCAGCATTAAAAGTCAAGAACTAGAGCTAATATAACTTACAGAGAACTATTGAGACTATACTTATTCCAGAAATCCCAAATCCAGTAAGAAATCTCATGGCAGCAAACATGGGAAAATTATAAGACAAAGCACTTGCAAAACCAAAGAGTGCAGTTGTTATGTAGGACACCAGAAGTGTCTTTTTACGGCCAAACCTGTAACAAAAATAGGACAATTAATTATTGCTGTCGATATTATAATACTATAAATGAGTATTGCTTAGTGATAACAAAATTGCTCAAGTGCATATACATATACATATACATATACATATACATATACATATACATATACATATACATATACATATACATATACATATACATATACATATACATATACATATACATATACAGTACATATACATACAGCTAGTATCTCACTGAGCTGCAGTGGTTAGAAACAAATTGTTCACAGCTCCAGGGCTTTTCAAAAACATCTCCAAACATTTGTGAACTTTTTTTGAGTTTTGTTTCCTCTTTTGAGTCTCTGGGCCTCATGCTTGTTTTGCCAAAATTTTTAAATGCAAATTTTACCAAAAATAATCATAGTTGTCCCATGGAACAACTATTATTAGACTTGCAGATCAAAGTGAGCAGTTGCCGCCCACTGAGAAAATATGATGACTTGAAAAATCTTAGTTCCTTTTATAAGTGGTGTATGATTTTTACAATTTTAAATAAATCAAAGTAGAGGGAAAGCAAAGTTTGATCTGATGGACTTCCACACCTGTCGCTGAGATAACCAAAAGCTGCTGCTCCAAACATGACCCCCATGAAGAAGATGGTGGCCGTTGCTCTGTTGGTGCTTTTCTTTTCACAAACAAGATCCCACTATGAGAGAAACAGTAAACAACAACAGCAACAACAACAAAAAGCTAATTAAAAGCAGCTGTTCTTTAATAATTAAAATAAAGTAATTGGAGAACTTACCTCACTGGCAAGAGTGGTTTTGAACGTGGCATTGTCATACGTCCAGCCGCTCTGGCATGGCACTGTGGGTAGGTCAGTGGTGTTGGTAGAGTTAAACAACAGGTGATACTGAGGTTCTGCAAACATATGGCAGGAGCTCGGTTTCCCATCCTGCAGGAAAGGGATGCTAACAATAAGCTTCTCCTGCTGAGACAAATTCCTAAATATTCCTCCATCATCCAGAGAGCTGATGTCGCAGTGGTGAGAGGGAATACTCGCAATGGAATTATTCAGTAGGAAATGAAACGGCAAAGTCACACGAGGAATAACCAACAATAGCACCATTCGTATTTGGAATTTCCCAAACCCACTAACATCTGCCAACACATTGTCAAACCTCATTCTGCTGATAAATGAAGCAGCAGCTGAGAATGACAGAAAGCATCACAGCACTGATAAGCAACGGAGCCMCAAATCTTTTTCTATCTGGTTATAACATCAAGTTAAAGGTTAGCATTTGTGGGAGATTATTGAATGAGTGGTAACAGAATGCTAAAACGAGTGCTCATTCAAGTGGAGACATTCAAGTCGCTGTGTTTTTTCAAACAATAACTTTTTGGTACAGACMGGGCTTGAAGGGTTGATGATTGTTGTCTAACAAAATGGTTCCTGGTTTGAAWGACATGACTTATTACACAGTCATTTTTTAAAAGAAAGAAAAAAATGCAACATACAGACATTTGTTAGCTGAAAAAAATTGGTCTTTTAATAAATTTTTGGAACAAAGTTTTTTCTTCCATGGTAGGGCATGTCAAAGGTGGGATCTCTGTTCTTCTCTGTTCTGGATATATGCAGTATTTGGATTCCGATCACTGGATTCTACAGATTGGCTTGGTGGTCTCCTGGTGTTTCTACAAAACAGTGTTGGTGGCTGTTCATTTCCTGGCTGCCTGACCATTACGAAGGATTGCCRTTTTATCAGCACTCAGACTTTTGCCTTGAGTGAGCTGGAGTAGGTCTGCAAGTGGTTCTGCTGAGGGTCGCGGGCCGGCTGTGGTTCCTGGACTTTGCTGGCTAGATGGAATTGATCTTGGAGAAGATGATAGCTTGGCTCGGTGGAATTTGTCCACATTATTTGTCTGATTGGATTCGCCACATTGAGAGGTACCAGCGGACATGAAGGCAGATGGATAATTGTTATTGTCAGCCTGGCTCTTCTGTTCCCAAAACAACTGATTATAAATTTGGCTCTCCCCTACATGGCTTCCATACCTRGTTGGTTACGTCGACTGAGGGTCTGCCCCCCCACCCCTCTGTGATCTGGTTCCTGGAGCAAGCTGAGGGCCGCACAGAATGAACAGTTACCATCCATATTCTGAACTATGGCTGCGCGGGTTTTGGGGACTCGATTCTTCGGGCTCATTTTTCAGATATTTACACAAGTGCATACAACATTCATGGCTTCAGATACACGTCCCCCTAAACTCACTTACTCCTCTGGCTAATAAATGTGCTCCATGAAGAGTTTTTTTATAAACACATTGTGACACATTGTTGATATAATATGATGGTTTTTTTCCTCACCTTCCCTTGTGTGGTTTTTAATTTTTTTATTTTAAGGGTTGCACCTCCTCATAATGTTTTCATGAAGATGATCCTTGCTCTGTGCAGGGTCAGTGGCTGCATGACCAAGAGCACCTGTTCTCCTATGTTTGTTATGTTCTGTCTTCTTCTGAATGGGTGTTCTGAACTGTAATTTCATTGTGCTTTGTACATTGACAATAAAGGTCTATCTAATCTAATCTAATCTAATCTAATCTAATCTAATCTAATCTAATCTAATCTAATCTAATCTAATCTAATCTAATCTAATCTAATCTAATCTAATCTAATCTAATCTAATCTAAATGAACAAGGATGGTTTGTTTAAAAAGACAGTCTTGCTTAGGTTTGCAAAAGGACACCTAAGTAAACTACAAAACTTCTAGAAAAATGTCCTTTGAACAGACAAGACCAACTTAAATCAGTGCGTTACTTAGATGGAAATGAGTTGACTCTGTGTTAAAATGTCATGTGGCTAAACTTAAGTGTTTATGGTGGAACATGAAACAAATGGAGAACAACAGTATGGGCACATTCCTGGTTCCATGTCAGCAGGATGTGGAACACCTTCAGGTTGTGATTCATTGTGGATTGAAACAGTACTACTATTTTGYCCTCCTGCAGCAAGATGGAGTGTTGGACATGAAGAGTGCAACTGGCCCCCAGAGATCCATCAAGAGCTGGTCCTGGGATCAAACTGAAGTCTAAGCTGATCCTACACCGTTGATTTATAAAAGTTTGAGGGACTCGACTGAGYTGTGATATATCTTGGAGTGACCAGAACCTTCATTACATGTATGTTTACCCTTTCCTACCTACTGGTTCCTGGGTCACTGCAAAATTTTTACACCCCCCATGCCAGGCAATGGTATGACATGATCAGCTGGCATCACGTAAACCCAAAATGCAACACCCTTAATTAAATTCTGGCAATGCTGTCCAATGTGCATGTAAGACAAACTGCTGAGTACTCTGGCAGCTACCTGATAACACTGTTGTTTCACTCATGATACCATCTGGGGCTTATTTGTGAGGTTAACGGCAGCATGACCCAGGGTGCAGGCAGAATCCAAAAATGCAAAATAAGGTTCATTAAACTAAAGGAGGGCTGTCGATGCAGCAAAACTCACAAGAATRTTCTCAGGAAAAAACAGGAACTTGAGGGAACACAAAGGACAACCACGGACTGGGGAGACAGTACAATGATACGACAGGGACRTGAAYATAAAGGTGAGCAAACRAGGGACTTATTGGAAACACCTGGGGAGGAAAWCACAGAGGCAGGTCTACACAGGAAAAACACAGAAACACTAGAAAAACTAAAGAAAGACAGACACAGACCACAACATTATTTTGAAAATTATTCACATAACCATCACTGGTCYCTGACCTACATGTGTACTAAATTATATCCATCTTCTGAGAGCTGTTTTTGTGTATCAATTTCYTTGTGTCCATTATGAGATGAAAGACTTTTCTTTGTGTTTTATAGTTAATGTTTTATCAATATACACACATAAAATTACTTTTTATCAAGTACCATGCCAACACAGTTGTTGACATTAATGTTTTTAACATTATAATATTTGCAAGTTTCCTTAATATTGAACAACTATTACCGGTAATTAAATCTCYCATACTCCCCCACACCATCAAAACAAACAATATGAAGCTGTTTTTATTCCAGTGAAAAATGTGACAATAGGCAAACCTTCAATCTTGTTTTTTTCAGTATTTATTTGCTTTTTCAACAATTTTTCAACAATGCTTTTTCAACAATCTGTTAAAACATTACAGTTCTTTATTTAAAATTAACAGCATGTTTAGACTGTCAAAATGATGTTTTTCCTATGATGGACTGATGATCTGGCCAATGTGTTTCCCACTTCTCACTTTGACTTGGTTTATTTCAGTAAACAGATGGTCTATGTTGTTTTCATTTAGTCTCTTTCTCTCTTGTAGATTGTCTCCTGCAATCCAGGTTTTAAAAAGCATCTCATTAGTTTATGCATTTCTTTCTTCAAAAAGCAATTTGTAAAAAGTTATTCTTCTACTGTATGTAAAATGCTGGGGTTGAGCCTTTTGCAGCAGGTTATTCCTGAGCACAGAGAGTTATTATTGGCTTGCATGTCATGAATTTTTACCTGGATCTCTCAATGTCTTCAATTAACTCAGGCATTTGGGTGTTTAATGTCTCAGGCAGTAGTGAAGTAACCAACCCAGAGCAAATTGCCACTGCGCAGTAAGTGACTGCTGGGAGAAGATGCCACACTTCGTCCAATAACATGACGAGAGGTGAAATGGAAACCCCCAACCGTGCCAAAAATGAGGTGTAGCCTAAACCGTTCTGCCTGGGAGAAGGAACAAAATTAAACTTAAATCATCCCAATCTAATAAATTATCATTCAGTTGGTACAAATATTTGTCACTGACTAACCGCACTACTGTAGGATAAAGTTCAGTTGTGTAGAGGAACATAATTGTAAATGAGGCCTCGGACATAGATTTACCAAGAACTGCTACAATCGTGCGAATGACTGCCTTGTCTGTAAGGGAAATGTTTCCAAAGTTAACAAAAAAGAAGAAAGAAAATAAAATTTGGAAATACAATTCCTAATTATTATTAAGTGAACCAAATAAAGAAGTACCTGTTGGGATAAAAATGTTAATGAAGAGACAGAGACCAGTGGACAGCAGGGCTCCCATTTCACATTGCCTTCTGCCCAGTTTCTCCAAGCAGAAATAAACACAGATCTTCATCGGCATCTCGATTGAAGCAAAGACGAGCTGYGTGAGGTATGGATTCAGCCCAAAGCCTGCTATGTTTAGACTTATCCCATAATATGTAAATGCAACGCCGTACCTTGACAAAAAAAGAAAAATCTGTCTGTTAAGCAATTCAAATCAGAACTGACTTGATCTCAAAGTTAATCATAATTTCATGTTTTTAATAATTTTCCTTTAGCAAATCAKAGATTTATTGTGTTTTCTGAGCCACAAGGTTCAATGTTCTTGTCAGCAAACTGTTTAAAAAGAAAAAGTGCACAACAAAAAAGACAGAGGTGCTGCACTGTGTGTGTTATAAACTGTTGGGGGTTTAGGTGACAGTGGATGCATTTTTAACTGCGATTTAAAGTGTGAGTTAAGCGTTTGGGTTGGAACTGCTTAATCAGCAAAATGTAAAAATAAATATTTAAGGATAGTTAAATTGTATGAATAAGATCTATATGACCATGTTACTGAATTATGGATAAATAGATAATTTTAGGTTTTTTTTGACTTTGAGTAAAAATAAACCTCTGGCATCCTATTTTTAATAATTAAACAGACTAAACTAAAAGCAATTCTAACCAAGAGCTGCACAGTGTCATGGCTCTATCAACATTTACGCACCATACAATTCCTGAGCATATTGCAAGTTTTCTCATATTTGGAGTCCTAAAAAGATCCATAACAGTGTGCTTCTTATCTGGGGATTCAGCCTCTGCAGATTCCACTAATWTCTGTGAAAAGCAGGAGAAAGTTAGATTTCTCTTAAGCAGTTATTTTCAGTCTTGCCCTTGGTGGTGTTTCAGGAAAAGTTGTACCTCTGGTGTGATGCTCTCGATACTCTTGGATCTGTTGTTTGTTTCTGCACATTTCACAATGTACTGATGAGCAGCGTCCGCCTTCCCTTTAGCCACGAGCCACCTGGCAGACTCTGGAAGCCACCTGAAGGACACGGTCTCTGTGACGGCAGCTTTACAGCAACACGGATTGTGTGAATGTTGATTCTTCATTCACGCCATTGTTTTCCTGTTTTTAATTGTACTTTCCCATATGTTTTAATCCTATCTAAATATTTCTGCATGCTTTGTGCTACTCGGTGGACCTATGACTTTATTTTTTTAACAACATTTATTTAAGATTTTCCTGAATAAATCAGAATCAGAATCAGTTTTATTGTCATTGTCAGTGATAAACACAGACTAGGAACTTGCAGTTAAGAACACCCATTCTTATCACACACACATAACAAACATTGGGGAGAATGGATGTTCAGGTCTTTCGCAACGTGGTGGCGCTACCTTTTGAAATAAAATACATTGAGAATTCTTCAGTTCCTTCAAATGCATTGTTCTCGGAAATCTACTAGGCCTACTGCATGCTTGCCCTGTGTTTGTATTCTAATGTTACTTTTAGCTATATTCTTACTTAAAAATTGTAGCTACTGTTCAAATTTTCACCTTAAGCTACTGTTTGCTTTTGTTAGCTTTTAGCTCACCTTTAGCCTTTATAACTTTCTGTGACATTTTTGTTATGTCTAGCTTTTAGTTAGCTATTTTTAACATTTATCTAGCCTTTAGATACTTTTAGCTTCTTGATGGGTCTTTGAAATGTTTACTTATGATACTTTTAGTTTGTTGTCATCAATTGTTTTTTACTTCTAGTATTGCTGCCTTCCAATTTTGACTAGTATTCAGCTTTATTTAGCTACAATGCTTCACTTTCAGCCTCTTTAACTAGTTTCAGTAAAGTTATTAAGCACATTGCACATTCACAGAAAATTCAATTTCTCTTAACWATTTTTTTGTTACAAAATAAGAAAAGCTGTGAACTTAATTACCGCCAAGCAATAATGGACACAAACAGGGGTGAAGTAGCTGCTATAATCAGCATCCTCCACTCCCTTACACAGAACGCAATTCCAACCAGAAGCCAGTTTCCAAGAGTCCAGTCCAGACTTATAATTACACCAGAAAAAGTCCTGCGTTCAATGCTGCACCATTCCACATCTGCAGAAACATCACCACAAAGAAGATATCAAATGGAACAAACATGTAACATATGAACACAAAGGTGAAAAACACTGGAAAAACAAAATAATCTCCTTACTTAAAGCAATAGAAATAATACTTATTCCTGCCAGGGACATTCCAGTGAAAAACCTCATGATGACAAACATTATATATGATGAAGAGAAGGCGCTTAGAGCTGCAAATATCGAAGAGGACAAATAAGACACCAGCAGCAAAGGCCGTCGCCCAAACCTGGCCAAAGAAAAGAAAAATCAGCTTAAAACTCTTAAACATGATGAGGTGAGGCGTGTGCATTTCTTCAAGAAATGTTAGGCTTTAAGTATGACAAATATCTTTTATTAAAAATATATAATTTAGCAAATCTGTTTTGCTATGTTGAATGCATAAATTATAATATTAATATCAATAAGACAACATCAACCTGAATTTTTTAACTTTTGTAGACATTTTTTAACTTGCGGCTTCAAAAAACATCAAACATTAAATTTTGTTATGAAAAGCGAAACTTGTTTTCAGTTTACTGTAAAAGGGTCATCATATATGTATATTTTATTCAAAATACCTGTCACTAAGAAAACCAAAGAGTGGGGCTCCCATCATTACACCAATAAAGAAAATAGTAGCTGTTGCCTTGTTCAACCCTTTGCTGCTGCACACAAGATCCCACTGGAAGAACATAATAATAATGAAGTGCTTAAAATTCATGTTTCCTCCTTAAAATATCTTATCTGCAAGCTAAATGCATTTGTTAATAAAATGTAAACACTGTGGAGGAAGGTACGACAATTAAAATTCGTTACTTCTGTCACCAAAGTGGATTTAAAGGTGCTGTTGTCATAAACCCATCCGGTCTGACAGGACACAGAAGAGGCCTCCTCACTGCTGTTCGAGCCCGTCAAGTACTGGTACTGAGGCTCCGTAAACATCTGACAAGAACTCCGAGTCCCATCTCGCTCTGTCGGAATGCCAGCTGACAGTTTCTGATGGAAAGTTAAATTTCCAAAAACACCTCCGTCCTGCAGGGCGCCGAGGTCGCAGTGATGAGAGGGAACAGCTGCCATGAAGTTGTTCAGCAGGAAATGACACGGYAGGGTCACCCGAGAAAACATCTGAATCAAGAAGAGTCTGATTTGGAATCTCCCAAACCCATTAATTTCAGAAAGAATGTTGTCGAACTTCATTTTGCTGCGTGACAGAAGGCAACAGGAGGCAATGAAAGTGAAGCGAAGTCAGAACAGACAAGTCAAAAAGACACATTCACAGGCACAGTGTTAATCATTACAATTATTCACCACTTTGTCTTTCAATGTTTACTGCAGCCAGTATTTCAAAGTTATTCCTTATATATTGGATCTTGAACAAAATTTTGTGTAACAACATTTAGGTTATCAGTTATTCTGGTCTGAAAGGCAGCAGGCAACATGCATCCCTCCAACAATAGAAAACCCTCAGGAGTACGAATAAGTACTGTATGTACCCCAAAGGTCTTCTTGAGATTAAACATTTATTTTACTGGAACTTCTTGGCGAAGTCAGCTGCAACTCAGAGACACACATACAAATCATTACTTACTTTTATATAACAGCTAAAAATGTTTTACAAATTCTAAAAACTCAGACCATGTTTGTTAAAAGTCCCTACCAACATGAAGGATGTGAGCTTTTGATCAAAACAGAAGCTCTGTGGTAGATTTAAATTATGCATGCTTCTTTGCATTTATTTAAATAAATTTTTTGTATTGGATTTAAACTGTTCMTTTTGGAGACGTGAACTCTTTGTGCAGGGATCTGTAGTCGTTTGACTGGACCGACTTGAACCAGCTTCATCCAGATTCATCATAGTGTCGGCTGATCCTTGGACCCTGACTGATGATTGAAGAAAACTAGAGGAGTACACTGGACACACTGCAGGTTAACTTGGCCCAAAGTCACTTAAAACCTTCTCAGTAAAGCTCAAGTAAAGCGCACACACATTTACCTCACTATCTCTTTAAARTATTGGTAAGAAATTATGATTTAGAATTAAATTACATAAACATGTAAGCATGACCAAACATGAGACATAGTATAAGAAAGATCTTTTTTGGTYCGTGATCAGTAAATTTTGATTAAACAGTAGTCATCAGCTGTTGCTTTGTCATGTGAAGCAATTTCATATAGAAAAACTTCCTGTCTTTTTGTCACACCTGCCCTACATTTGTAATTAGTACACATTTTTCAGTTTTGTTTTGTTTTTTACTTGTCAATTCATTGTGTTTTATTGTTTCTTTCTTGTCTCTTTTTAGMCTTTGTGCTTTCTTTGAGTCTGAGTTTTAGTTTGTGTGATATTCTTTTTGTTCATTTTGTCTTCGTAGCACCTTCAGATTGACTCGTTTATTAAACAGTTGCTGTATTTCATTTACTCCTGCATGCTTCTGGACTTTTGTCTACATTTAGGTCCCACCTGTATGTCTGCTTGACCCCCTGACAAACGATTAAAAAAGTGGAGCTTGAAGGGGTGGTTCAGGTATTTTTGAAAGAAAGAAAGACACACATGATACTTTTCCACCCATCATCCATCCATTATCTATGTCAGGGTCACAGGGGTCACTGCTGCCCATATCCAGCAGTCACTGTGCTGGATATGGGCACAGCACCTTTAATCAGAAAAAATTCAATCAACAAACAAAACATTCATCAATGCTGTTTTATGTATTTTTTTTTCTTTAGCATATCCAACAGAGCTAAGAACGGTTAATCACAGATAACGATTTTAAACATCCGGAAAATCAAAAAATGTGACTTTTTAATTGGTCAGTCCTTAAAGAGATTTTAAAAAGTAGACTCATTTCATACAAAATCTAAATAGATGCCACGTAAATGTTCAGTGAAGTTTTTTTTTCAATCAGGCAAAAATGATCTGAATAAATAACTGAAGCTGGCACAGACCAGTCCTTTCTACAAGTTTTTAATCCTCTRTTTTAACCTCAGATTCAGTTCCATTTATGGAAATCTTGTCAGAAAAGAGCTACAGTTACATCATCTGTTTGCAGTGAAACAGATCTGACAAGAAATTGGAGTTTGCCCGAATCCAAAAGAAGTAAAATAATAAGAAGAAATAAATCATCTTGACTTCTATTTTGTAGGTTCAACAAGAAAACTTATTGTTTTGTTGTATGTAAATGTGTTTTTTTTATATTTTATTCATTTATTTTTTAATGAAATGAATAAATTTGATAATAGTTTGATAATAATAGAAGACTTTTTTTTTCTTGTTTTGGTTTTACCATGTCCTGGACGGCTGTGAGTCTACACCAAGATATTGATTTGTCCTATTTTAGAATCTGTTTAGGCTGAAATGAGAAAAACAGTTAATGAAATTTTATAAGTCTGGGGATAAACAATAACAGTAATATTGACAGTGATTTTGTAAACCTAATTCAGTTTACTTTTCATTAACTAATAGGTTATTATCAGGAAACAAAAGAAAAATTAAAATAAAAAACATAAAAACTGTAAAAGTGCTTTTCAAATAATTACATGTATCTTCAGAGTTGATTGTGTCGACCGGCTGCAGATGAATGAGGGCATCTGATCTGTGTCTGGGTGGGGTGGTGGTAGTTGGGGGGGTGGTATGAGGGCAGGGACACCTCCTCCTCTCTCTGTTGAAATACTGTAGCATGTATGAACACCTGTCATTCTCAACAGGAACTGAAACATCATCATCATCATCATCATCATCATCATCATCAACCTTCATCGCACAGAATGTGAAGCTGGGCAGAAACTATAGAGGCAACGTTGTGGACAAACTTGTTTTTTGCAACACCGACGATAAACGTAAGTGTACTTAGTCCCATTCAGAACTCTYACAGAATTTTATTTTAGTGAAGCTCATGAGCTTTAGGTGTTATAAACTGCTCACTGAATAGTGAATGTGTGTGTGACTGTAGAGTGAGACACTCTGGAGTCGCTTTGAATTTGATACAAGTTCGGGCCATTTACCATTTTTGCCATGAAAACCATAATCACTAAAAGATTTGCTATGTTTGTTATCTTAGCAATTATTTTTACTGTAACTCTGTTGACTCTTAATTAACGTTATTTAATTTCCATGAAATTAATGCTGCTGCAGTACAATAGAAATTAAAATATAAATATGAAAACATAAGAAGATGTGTTTGTGAGGTTAGGTTGAATATGAATAAAAGTTCAGTTATTTAAGGCTCACAAATTGAGAAGTAAAACTACAGAGCCCATCAGAAAGATGTGGGGCCACAGTTAGACCCTCTTTGTAGTCGAGGACATGGAACACTTGGTGCTCCCACACAGGTCACCCCTCAGACAAAACGTCACGCAAGTTTTCGAAGATGCTGATTCCTTGGTTCCATGGTGATGGGTCAACATATCGAAGTTGTTGCCATACTTGGAGAGAGAAACTCCTGCAGCACCAGAGTCCGACCTGATGTTGGCCAAAAGTTAACACAAAGTGGAACCAAGTGTGAAGAGAAGCCTGCAGGGGTCAGAGGTCGTTTAGACTTGGCAGGGTTTCAGTGGGGCTWATTTCTGAGTTAATCTCACAGCTGTACATGTTCCACAGGTTTTGTGCTGTAGATTTTTAAAATGCTTGAATCTTATTACAGCCTTCAACTCCCTGACTGTCTCAATTACCCCCACCCAAAAAAACAACAACAACAAAAGGAAAAAAAAGGAAAAAGGGTAACCACTTTATCCTCTCGCAGTCCTGTTGCAATTGTAATGTTGCCTTTGTCTTTAGTGATCTTATATGTATATATATATA